TGTGGTTGAGCTAAATTGCTGCTTTGCTGCTGATTCCCTAGGGAAGGCTTTTGTGCAGCTCAGGGTTTAATGTTTGATCTTATAGGTACTTCTGGCTCTCCAGACAACTGGTGCACCTGGGTTGTGTAGAAACTCTGATCTGGGCCTGAGTCTTTTCATCAAACTCCACCCTATGCATTTCTATATTCCTGACCAGTCTTCTCTGAGTGGTCCTGCACTGATTGGGGGGTGGATTGGTTGTCCTTGCTGTGTCCCAGTGTTCTCCTGGTGGGCCCATCTCCCCCACTGCCTGTGCTGCAAACCCTTCCCATGGGATGGGCCATGTGCTGGTCCCTTGCAATGACTCACTGGCCTCTGAATGGCTTCTTTTTTTTAGTTGTTGTGGCTCCTGGCTCCTGTGTGGGTCCACAGCAACCCTATTAGTGGTCATACTGTCCTGGGGGCCACCAAGGCCCTCTTCTCCCCTGCTGCCTCCAAGCAACTTTATCTGAATGGCACAGATGTGGCTTTTGCTGGCTCTTGCTCCATGTGCTCAGCAGTTCCTGCCTTAAAAGTAGCCATGGCCCAAAATGCTCTGAGCAGTTTTTTCTTTTTCTCATAATGGTTTCTCCCACCTTCACGAACTCCATAGGTCTCTCCTCCTCTTCCCCTGAGCTCTAGCAGTCCAAGCGTGGCTGTTGTTGCTTTTTTATAGTTGTTAATTGGTTGATTTGTGGGAGAGAGTGACACTGGGGACCGTCTATTCCACCCTCTTGACCGGAAGCCAAAAGAAATTTATTTTTTACAGTTTTGGAGGCTAGGAAGTCCAAGATTGAGGTGGCGCATTTGGTGAAGGCCTTTGTTTTGGTAGGGACTCTGAAGACTTCCAAGGTAGCACACGGCTTCACATGGCAAGAGGGCAAGGACATCGAGAAACTCATTTTAAATATAATTTTATGTATACGTTAAAAGAAAAAGAATAGAAAAAGGTATATGATGAAAACAATCAAAAGATAACTGGAGTGGCCATGTCAATATCAGACAAAGCACAGTTCAGAAAAAGGAAAATTACTATGATGTTACATGATAAAAGAATCAATTCACCAAGAGGACATTAACATCTTTAAATGTGTATGTATTTAGGAATAAAGCTTCAAAACACATGAGGAAAAACTGATAGAACTGAAAGGCAAAAGAGACAAATCCACAATTAGAGACCTCCTTTCTAATTGATCAATAAAACACAATTGAGAAAATTCACAATGAGATAAAAAACCTGAACAACACTATCAACTTTTCTTAATTAGTATTTACAGAATACTCCATCCAACAATAGCAGAATATTATATTCTTTTAAAATGCACATGTAACGCTCAGCAGAGACCATATCCTTTTAAGGTTAAAAAAATTTTTTTAATTGAAATCATACAAAGTATGTTCTCTTATTATAATGGAATTAACGAAGAAGTAAATAATAGAAACATATCTGGGGAAATTTACATATATTTGAGAAGACAGTTCTAAATAATCCATAGGTCAAAAGGAAATATCAAGAGAAATTAGAAATATTTTTAAGTTAATAAAAATGAAAATAAAACATAAGAAACAGTTCTAAATAATCCATAGGTCAAAAGGAAATATCAAGAGAAATTAGAAATATTTTTAAGTAAATAAAAATGAAAATAAAACATAAGAAAATGTATGGGATGCAGCTAGCAATGCTTAGAGGGAAAATTATAGCACTAAATGTTTTGTTAGAAAAGAAGGTCTCAAATAACAATCTAAGCTTCTACCTTAATATCTTAAAAAAAGAATAAACTAAACCTAAAGCAAGTATAAAGATAGAAATAATAAAAAGAATAAATCAATAAAATGTTTTGTTTTGGTTTTTTGTAGCTGGCTGGTACAGGGATCTGAACCCTTGACATTACAACACCTACCTGTAACCAACTGAACTAACCAGCCAGCCCTAAATCAATGAAATTGAAAACAGAAAAACAACAGAGTAAAACAATGAAAACAAAAGTTCGTCCTTTCAAAGTATCAATACAGGGGCCGGCCCGGTGGCGCACTGGATAAGTGCGCCGCTTGGGAAGCGCGGCGGCGNAAAAAGAAATTAAATTCTTAGTTAAAAACCATCTGTGACAAAGAAAACTTCAGGCCAAGATCGTTTCATTGGACAATTCTACCAAACATTTATGGTGGGGTTAATATCTATTCCTGAAAACAGAAGAGGTGTGTGAACAAAGTAATTTTATAAGGTAAGTATTCCTAATATCAAAACAAGACAAAGACAGCAGAAGAAAACAAAAAAACCCCGCAGACCAATATTCTTCATGACGCAGAACACTCAACAAAATATTAGCTAACTGAATTCAACAATATATAAAAATAAGATATGTGTCTC